CCCCAAAACCCCAAAACCCCAAAACCCCAAAACCCCAACAAAAATACCTTTAAAACTTATTAGTTTTATTAGCTTAGCAATTATGGGAAATACAGCCACTTGTTGTCTTAAGAATCAGGCGCATGACCAAGTAGGACGGATTAGAAGGAGGAAGAAGATGAAGGATGATAGAGGTGGTATTAAATTGGCGATGGTGCAAAGGAATGGTAAAGTGAAAGTAGAGGAAATAATTGAAGAAAAGAAAAGAGCATGAGAAAATGATAAAATTGTTGATAAAGAAGGAGATTGTTATATCTCTGGAACAGATTCTGAGGAATGAGCATGGCCGATAGCTGATGAAGTGACTGATCATGGGCAGGATTTGGAGCCTGGAAATGTAAGTGGGATTTGGGGTGGAGAGTTGTATGGGGATTTTGGGGTTTTGAGGAGAGATTTGGGTGGAAGGAGGGGAGTTGGGGGTGAAGGAGGGGTTGGAGGATGTTTTTGGTAGGGGTTTATGTGTTTGTTATGGGCTGATGGAGAAAAATTTGCTTTTTTGGATGAGGTTTTTAAAGATGATGGTATTTTAAAACATCAAAATTTGATTTAATCTTTTAGGATTATACAATGAGTTATAAAGAACTCAGTTACCTTTACTCACCCAATTATGTGAAGGAGAATTGGTTCAATAGCATGAAGAAGTTTAATCCACAGTCTGAACTTTGTCTTGATCTAAAGCTGTCAAGAGATCTTCAATTTTTGAAGAAAGTCCACTTTAGACTGCCTGATTTAGATATTCTGAGATTAAGAAACATTCCTTCGAATGTAAAAAAGTTTGTGAAAAAGTTTCTCAAAAAGTATTTTCCTAATAGGGTCAATACATTCAGCTTAAATTACGATTCTGAGTTAAGCAGCGCTACCTTTTATGTGAGAGAGCTTACCTCAATTAGTTGGAGAGTGAAATAAAAGGATGACAATTTGCAATTTTGAGGTAAACCAGAAACAATTCGCAAATTTATTATCGGCAAATAAGAACAAAGACGTCCTATATTTCACTAGATGCGAAATTAGTCTCCTAGGAGTGCCATATTTTTAAAGAAAGCATGAAAAGAAGCACATTGAGGCAGATAAACTTTGGTCATTCTAAATTTACACACCCAAAAGATTCCTCAAAATGATCTCAGCTAGAACTTTTAGTTCTTCACTTATCAGAATGAAGTGATTTCAAGTCAAATTTTGAAACTATCTCTATATGGAACTATGAATTTATAGGAAGAGATGTAGAGCAAGTTTTGCAAAGGAACGGATTCACTCAGGTTAGAATTCTTACTCACAATTAAGGAAGAGAGTTGAGGGGTTTTGGGGTTTTGGGGTTTTGGGGTTTTGGGG